AAATTCCAGTAACAAATGCTTTTAATAGATTCTCTATTAATTTATTTGTTACGAATACAAGTCTTTTGTGATCAAAAAAGTTCCAACAAATCTATGTAAAGTGATTGTTTGAGAAAATTAATATATATAAGAGAGAGACTAGCAATTTACATTTTACATTGGATATAAATTTAATAAACAACGTAATTTACATTTTTTAAATGATATTAATTATATTTACTTTTTATTACTTTTCAGTGAAAATTACTACGAAAACGAGGACGAGAAGAAGGGCGGAAAAAATTAAAATCTCATTTGTATAATCTATATAGTGTAATTATTTTATATTTAAATGTAAAATAAATATTTTTTTTTGTTATAAGGAGCAATCACAATGTACATTACTCAGAATAATAATAGTAGTTAATTGCATCCTAAAACGTGGCCAACAATGTATAACACTTTAAGTTAGTTTAAAATAAATCCTTGAAATACTAATATGATAAGTGAAAGCTTATAATTTATCTTTTTATTTTATTCAATGCATTTCACACGCCCACTGTGCGTTTCTCGTGAGCTGATTACTTTTAATAGTTGTGTACTCTATATTATATACCCCGCCACTTGTTTAGACTGTAAATTAAGTTACTTATTTAATAACCTCGTACCAGTTTCTTAATTATAATTATTATGAATGCTGAAACTGAGATAATACGTTTTCAGTTTAGTAATTTTTTTATTAAATAAAATCGTATAATTCCTTAACTGGTATAAAACGTGCCCGTAGGTTGTTTATAGAATATTCAATAATACAACTTATGGTACTAAGTTTTTACTGAATTATTTGTTACTGTGATTTATGATCCTGGCTAAGATTTATTAAATTGATTTATTTATGATTTTTTGTGACACCAGTGAATTTACAGCGATACTATAATAGTATGTAACATAGGCACCATCTAGCTCTTTTACATCACTATAACGTTTGATGTAAATCATTATTTCGTTATAAATTATAACTAAATCATAATATTAAGCTGAAATTACTTTTCATGAAAATAGTACTATTAATTTGTTGTTCCAAACTTAATAAATTTGTTTGTGATTCCTCAAAAATAACTGTATATATTCAGATATTCTAAAATTAAAGGAAACATAATTAAATATTCAAGTATACCTAAGCATTATTCTGTGTTTATGGGTCTGGAAATAATTTGAATTAATATGTTTTTAATTAAAATATATTATATAGGTATACTCGAAAGTTTGTCGTTAGAATATGTCAACGCACATACAAACTATACCTATATACATATTACTTATAAATGTAAAATATAATGTTATTATATATATTTACATTAATTTGAGAAACACAGATTTGTTAAATTTAATTTGTTACTAAAAGCTATACTTACTATAACTAAATTGACATAATAATTAAACGTGAAATAATGAACATCAGAAAATCATATTTGCAAATATATGTAGAACTTGTAAATGTATAGTTTTCTACAATTTCTTGAACAAAGAGGATACTTTATTTAGTGATGTTTTTAGGCGATTAAGTAAAACAAAAATATCATTTGCATTAAATTATTTAAACAAAACAAAAGCAATAAAATATTTTAAAGACATTTATTTTAAGACCTTACCTTGGCAGTAGGTACTCAGAAAAGTGAGTAAATACATACTTTATATTATATACTATATACTTTATTCTTATTAGAACCTAAATGGAAATTTAAACAGTTTGAACTTAAATTAGTTTAGTAAATTTAGCTAGACTCTTATTACTGGCGCATGCACTTATGATTTGATTTCAAATTTTATCCCAAGATCAATAAGTTGGTTATACAGCATAGTAATATTTTAGTAATTATAATATGCAAAAAATATTTATATTGAACAGATATTTTCATATTATTTTGGATACTTGAAATACCTGAGTTACTAAGATGCGTTGTTTCTAATTCAAATAATTAAGTCACTAAACATTATGTGATAATGTGTTAAAGTAAGTCTTAACATGTAATTTATGTGAATACACATCTACAAGGCTTCAAATTGAACTTAAAAAAAAATCAAAACTATTACTAGATACAAAACAATTCATTTGTAAACCGAATGATTACTGTTGAATGAGTAGGTAAGTCTTAAAATCAGCATAACTCACAAGTCAAAAATAGTCACTTCCATAGCAATTGCGCTTTGGAAACTTAGGACACGATTTGTTTATGCCCGGGTGTATTAAATAGATATGTACAATGACTCTTCTATAGGTATAACATATTACCTTAAACCTTATTAAAGATTAATGATGTTTATTTATCATAAATCTTGTTGGATGAATGTGCAAGTTCAAATTGTTAAGAGTGTTTTTATCGAGTAACGTTTTATCTGCATCAAACCGCAAATTCAAGTTTTAATATTAGTTATTTTTACATGTTTAACTAATTTTTTAAAACGACGTATTTAGAGGTAATAAAATCAATCGATATAAAATATTAAACTCAAACATATTGGTTCATTTAAAAACATAACATATATTTGTTGATTTATTGAAATGTTCACACTGGCCTACTTATAACGTTGTTATAGAAATATACAATACAGTATTATAAACACTTAAAAATATTTAAAATTGAAGCAAAGTAAATTATGTTTTTGAATACTTTCATCTATTTATGTAGTGTCGTGTTACAGACATATGCTTATCGAAGACAATACTTTTCTATGAATCGCTTGAGTTCAAATATAATGTAGATGATTTATGACGGGTTGCATGAAAAAATTATTAATTTGACGGCCCAATAAAGTTAAAATGGACCAATCATGGGCCGCTAAACCATGTTTAAGGGATCATTAGCTAACTATTGATTAGTTTAATGTTTAGTGACTGTTCATGCAACCCGGCATAAGTGTTTAAAAAAATAAATTATGACAGTTTATTTCATATTTCCCTGATTGACTGGTTCATATAAAAACGATAACGATTTATCGATATTAATAACCAGTTCACATGACCAAGGTTTTGTATAATAATCATGAAACGAAAACAGTGTTTTAAATTTCAAATAAATCAAAATATTTCACTTTAGGGTACCTAATGTAATGGGTGAAATATCAAAACAATATTGTTTTTAAAAATAAAAGAAAAAGAAAAAATGTAATTAAATAACTGTACCTATATGCATTATAATCATTGTCATTGAAGCGTTTTGTCCAATTAAAAAAAAATGTAATGTGCATAAAGGCATAAGCTTATATTAAATAAATAAGTGCAGTAGTACTATTAAAAAAGCAACTTAAATATATGAAACAAAAATCTTATTATGTTAATTGGTTTTCATTGAACAAATTAAAATTTTAATAGACCATTTATTTATTCGTACTTAAAATGATAATATTATTATATAAGATAATATTTAGATTGTAAAATTGTCTGTCGTTTATGAGAATATAAATACCACCATCTTGTTTAGGGCGTTCGGGCACAGTTCCAAAGTGGCATTATGATAATGTTAGCCGGTTTTCTTAATGACCATCGTCCTTGAAAGTCCATGAAATATAGAGAGAATTATGATAGGATTTGAAACATTATGGAATTCCGTTGAGCCATTAATTAATCAGCAGTTGCTATATTGTCCTTTGTAAAGGATTTCAGCACAGTTGTCACAACAAAAATTATATTCACAATGATAATAATTATTTCATCTTTTGTACAATATAATACATTCATTTTATTTGAATAGATGAGTGAAACTTGATCTAAAGACAATAATTAAGTTGCATCAGATAAGATAATTATTACAATGTAATGTTAGTTGTTACCTATTGTAATATTGTGCTCTACTTGTATTAGGTGTACACAGCATTATTATGTTTGAAATATGAACTTAAAACAAGTCTACTGTCTGTCAAAAATCGAAATGTAATTTCTCAGAAATATAATAAAATGCTTGTTAATAAATCAAATAAACACAAATAAGTTATTCCTATAAAGTGGATACAACTACTAAACTACGTACGCATCTAGAGTTTCGGCTGATAAAGAATTTGAAAATGTCCACATTTCCAACATAAAATCACTATTGTTAATATAACAAACAAAAACTTTTTCTCCAAGTGCGTCACGTACTGTTCTGTATAGTTTCTAAAATAATAAGTGAGAAGAAAACTGCAGCAGGCGACTTGCAAATAAAGAGACATTCTAGTGTATTAAAAAAAATCATGAAGAAATAATAATATTGGTATTCCTAGGAAATTTCGTTATTAAATTGCAGTATTTGATGTTTTCGCCAAAATCGCCTCGTGAAAATAAACGAGTTTTTCAAAACGATTTTTTACGGTTCTCGGAGCCAATATATTGCAGTTGAAACCGAGTAAAAGCCTTCGGCTCGATTCGTCGCTTATTATATTTACTAAGAATACAATATATTATTAATTTAAACGTGCCCGGACACAGCTAGCTATAATATCGGTGCTCCTCGGAAATTACAGCAATATCCATGGCCATAATAATATTATTATATCGGTGATATAGAAACGCCGGGATCCAAAAAAAATATTTTAACACGTTGTGATGCTCTTCCCGCGGTCGAACGCAGCGAAATCAAAGCACTGGTTCGATATTATTTCTGCATCATGCCTGCAGTAAGCTACAGGTGGGACCGCGTGAAGAGATATGGCCAAATATTGTTTCACGAATCGAATATTATCATCATTATCGTGCACGTATATCGACATATTATAATAGACGCAAAACCGCCACCTGTGCGTGAAGAAATATTGCCGAGAGACCACTCATACATATTATTATATCGATATCGCAGCCACATTATAATATCAAAGTGGCATAATATCACACATAGCACCATTACAACTGTGTTGTATTACACGCATATATTATTAAAGTCGGCCGGCACTTCGGTCGCACTCGCGGCGGAGTGGTTCAAGTTCATTCGGTTCGGAGCAGAGCGGCCCGTGGATACATGTTGCAGGGGATCTGATTGGAGCGCTGTCGGTGAAAGGCGAGTAGTACACACGTACATATAACATTTGTCACGTGCGTTTTATTATTCTTTTTTCGTTATTATTGTGTTTTACGTACAACGCGTACAGTGTACCAGAAGCCGCCGATTGCCCGACAGGTCGGATTTGTAAACACGCGCATTACACAGGTAAATACAGCACACGCCGCCGCCACGATGAACGTCTTTTGGACGTTTTCCGCAGTGCTCCTGCTCAAAGCAACAGGTACGTTTGTGTAGTACGTTTTAGTCTATCGCAATATACATTATTGTCTTTACTGTTATTATGATTATTATTGCCAGCTGGGGAGCACGAAAGTGAGGATAATAATATTATAATGCAATATTATATATTACTATGGCTTACAGTTCTGTCGCGATCTGCAGAATACATATAATAGGCCGAATTGTTTATGTCAAAGTAGAACCTGTAGCGCTGAGCGTCAATTGTCGTGTGGTTTGTTTCGTATTTTTTCGTCTTTAACGTACCCACCAACATCTTTCGAGTGTGCCGTCGAGGGACGATTTTGTGAGATATATCACAACGAAAGAACAACTGTGTATTCTTTTGGTGCCTAGTACAATATGCCTACACTGTCGATATTCAATTTAAAATACATTTATATAAATATAACACATATACAATTTAATCGTAGTAAACTCGGCGATCTGTTTGAAACGTTGGGTGTAGTCGGAAGTTCGCGGATTTAATATTTTTCGTTTAAATTATCGGCGTTATTATACGAACAGGTATTAACATACATGAATAATTGGCGACTATGATTTTAAATGGAATACGCAATACGATAGACAAATAATAAATGTATGTAGATAGCACTACATATACGCTCAATAATTATCTACAGACGACCCTGAAAACTGATCGACTGCACGATCGCGGCGTGTACAATATTAATTAACATACATGTACAAAGGGATTAAGATCGGTCGCGGTTGCGTGGCTACACTTACGTGTACAGACGGATTTCGGGCGTATAGGAAACTCGGCCCCCAAAAAATATGCTTTTATTGTTACTATAAATCGTGTACCTAAACAGCGTACCCACGTACGACATATTATGTTATGAGTTGTGTCGGTTGCATAATATCATATTGATATATAAATAATACAATATCGTTCGTACATATACATACACATCGTGCCCGAGTTGTGCAACTCGCTTTGGACGCGTACATGACAGATTAGAACAAAACCACTCGCCCGGAGCGTTTCATAAATTATTCCACAGCCACTGCGACCACTATACACATATGAACGTTTACGCCCGGGGGACAGTGCGCACGCCTCGATATCGGGACCGCCATCACGAAATAATGACTTATATTATATATATATATATATTATGTATAACGCATATAATAACGATAATAATACCGTAATAACGCACTCTCGTCCGCGGTTTTCGCTCGGGTGAAAGTTGCGCGCCGCTCGCGATGCGGTTTGCAGTATTATGGGTGTTGTTCCTCCCCGGCGAAACGAGTTTGGAAAATATGTGACTCGTATATACACCCATATTATGTTATTAAACACACTCGCAAACCGCTCTACATAATAATCGTATGTGTTTTTCGTTACGTGCCCGTGTGTGTACGACCTGCCACTGTATAATAGACGTAGCCGGTGAGCAGAACAGCTCCACCGAGTGTGGGCAATGGGTGACGCGCGTGGTCCATACCGAGGCGATAATTTTCGCCCGTCAAAATCGATACCTTTATACGTCTATATTATATACTATACGACCACTTATCGCGAGGGTGTAAACAAATCTCGTATATAATAAAGCCGATATTTTCAATAGCTATACGTACGTGTTGCCGCCCATACCTATCGTTATGATAGAAACATATTTTCGATGGCGGTATGACGACTGTTTTCCGTGTCAATTTTCAAAAAATCAATTACCTATTGGCATATAGCCTGCTATGTGTAATGCATTATTTCGATAATTACTCTCATTGGGGGGTATACACTTGCCTGGGCGAACTAGGTCAGTCATGTTTTGTATCAACACTATTTAATATTCGATAAAATCACTTGTGCACTCGTGTGCGAATTCTACCCCTGCAGACGTAACCAATATTGTTATTACCTGACGTAGAACTTATTTTGCTTTTCGCAGTGATCCAGTGCCAGGAATACAGCGCGGAAAGATCCTCGCAGTGTCCGGAACAACACGGCGAACAGACGTACCCACACCCCGACTATTGCGATCAGTTCTATCTGTGCACGAACGGCACTCTGACGCTGGAACAGTGCGGTAACGGTCTGCTGTACGACGGCAAGGGCGCCGCCTACCACCACTGCAACTACCACTGGGCCGTCGATTGCGGCAACCGCAAAGCCGAACGTAGGTTGCTCGCAAGAGTAAAAATATGTACTTTCTAAAACTGAAAGTGTAATGCACGACGTCGCACACATTTTGGGCGGTTGACCCATGATGAGAGTGCCACCCACAAGGCGCGCGGACAGGAAGTTAAAAGCCGAATCCGGGTCTGCGTTATATGCACGTATACCTACTCTCAAGTCATAACCCCGCCGGTTCGCTGAAAGAAAATTCACCCGATTTAATTGAATTCATATCTGAAGAGATCGTAAATCCACGAAATTCGAAAATATGAAAAAATTAATGCCAAATTTGGGGTTCGGCTTTTTTTTACAAACGCTTGTTCGGCGCTCTTTCGAGCCTATAGTCAGTATAGGGTATACCCTTAATATTTGTATGTTCTGTCAGCGCTGCGATTTACAATTATATATTATAGATGCAACTATACAGAGCCAATATTATGTTGTAGAATAGCTATAATTGTAGACGTTCATCTCGACTTAAAATGCTAGACGTTCGTAATGTAACTGCGGATGGATGAAAAGTCAATAATTTGATTAACTAGAAATTTCAAATCATGTTGACTCGCCCAGGAGAGTGTTAGCCATTGATACCTGATGAGGCAAAAAATAGGCTCATCACAATCGTCTCTAATATTGCTCTATACAGAACAATTTTGCACCATAATTACATCGTTATCATCTTTCACAGTTGCGCCGATCAGTTCTCCCGGATGCGAATACCAGTTCGGTCTGTTCTCAGACGGCTCCGCTTGCAGCACCAACTACGTCAAGTGCGAACACGGAACACCGTACGCTCTGCCCTGCGAACCTGGATTGGCTTACGATGACAGGATCAAAAAGTGCAACTGGCCCGATGAGCTCGTCGACGTGGGATGCAACCCTGCAGGTGCTCGAAATTGTCGTTTCTCGTCCAAAAGCATATAATAATAATGTAGTGATGTCAACGAGTCGGATTTACCCTTATATCAGGGGCGTGCAAACGGGGGATTGGTATGAGGGTGTCACCCTTTTTCGGTTTATTTTTGTCGTATAAAATATATTATGATACAGCAATGAACCTATGTAGGTATAACGTGATCTCAGATAAGCCGAGCACGCCACTGACCTATAGCAACTTGGGGTGGCAATCAAAACCACTCCACTCAACTGCACATTATAATGTTGATTTTGCGATAACGAAATAGACGGGAAATCGCAGCTGCCCCTCTCTCCCTGCCTCCCCCCCCCCCGTCGTTAAAGTACCAACCTATAGTCGTAAATCCGTCTCCGGTCGTAAGGCCAAGACATCACGATATAATATAATTATGGTAGCGCAGTCTCGCTCGAACGGTGTGTCGACTTTCGTTTTTCTTTTTCTTTTCCGCACAGATATAATTGGATTCAGCTGCCCGGACAAGGTGGACCCACACTCGGTGTCGGCCAAATTCGAACCGTACCCGAGGTACGCCCTCCCCGGAGACGCTCACAGGCTCATCACGTGCGTGCACGGTCATCCAAGGTTGATAAGCTGTGGCGAGGACAGCGTTGTGGACGAATCTTCTCTGACGTGCGTCGAGAAAGGGTACGTGACTCGTCATTACATAATGTTATTATTCGGCATTCGTGCCGCCAATGACTGTCGTCGTAAAAATAATATTGCAACAACGACTTTGTTGTACAACTGTCTAATCGAACAATCCAGCAGGCGTGATAATAGATAAAAATTATAGCGATTATAATTATTGTTTATTATTGTTTATTTATTTATTATTGATTGTATTATTGACGAACGAAATACAGTTCGTAACGTTTGGTATTTACAGCATATAGATGCTGCCGATTTGCTGTTACGGTTTTTAAACATATAACGATCAATCAGTTACATAACATTAATAAATTATTCTGTATAAAATCCGTCACATTTGTATGCTTTTAATGTTTTTCACTCTTCGATGTGTTCGTTCCCCTCGCCGCTGTTTGTTCGATTTTAAAATATGACATAATATTATATTATTTAAAGAGGATTTCGTCCCGTCCCTTTTGAAATATGTTAACAAATAATTTTATGGTTTATTTTGTACTGTTACAGGTCTCATTACAGAAAGAGAAAGTAGATCATATCTTTAATCCATTTGTGCCATGTTTAAAGTGTACATTTTCACATAAAAACCATACTGTACAAATCATCAAACGACATTGACACCGTGGCATCGTTACATGAAAACATATAAAAAATAATTTTTCTGGGATTGTTATTTATACCAAATTAATAGTTATAAAAAAAAATAATAAAAATTTTCCAATTAACCGTTGTTATTTTATTAGTATGTTATAAGTTATAACTTATAACTTTTCAATTGTAATCCTTTATACCAACATAAATAAGTAATTTCATCATTAGTGGATAAGTGTTGATGTATCATAGAGGTGTAAAACTAAATACAAATTTTAAAATTGCTGTAAATATCTATATTATATTATTTAAAAAACATCAGTAATATTTTTAGTAATGCTGTGAAAACAACTTGCCAAGTCGGTATCCATCATTAAAACGCCGATCCTGTACCTAAATTCTTCCTTGGAACTATTTTTATCGGTGGAACTCATTGAAAATTATGATTCATATTTATCAGTGGTGTAGATACGATTTTTACCTGTTGGAGGTATTCATTTTTAATTTTGTTTTGGTATTTGTAGCTCAAAATTATTTTTAAATTCATATTTATATTTAAAATTAATTGATAATATTACTCATAGTACCTAGGTACTTTTAGGTAGGTATATAAAAAAAAATTATATTGAAAAACACTAATTGTTTTTTGATTTTTTAAATTTATATAATAAAAAATGACCTTCTAATGAATTAGTTTATCATTTTGGTTCTGGTGGCGGTTTTAACCCCACTATAATTTCTAATCCATATCCATGCTTCTGATACTTATAATTTATAACTTCGAAAACAGTAGTATTGTTTTTGCATCTAATTATTGACAAACGCTTAATAAATCTTAAAAAAAAATTAAATCTTTTTACGAGTAATGTCCAACCGGTTTCCGGGACATCGCAATTATGTTACTGAATATTAGGTCATACAATTTATCAAAGTTATATATTAAGATGTTTTTATATATATTATTAACTCGTGTTCTGAACAGATGTATTATGGATGAAAACACGAGTTCATCGAAACAATTACTCATTGTACTACGGTTAATAGCGCAATTAGGGGTTGGTGACCCAAATATCTAACAAGGACCCCCCCCCCCTTCAAATCAAGTCCACGTGGAGTAGTTATGTTTTTATATTCATGACTCATTTCTGAAATTTAGAAAATCAATCCAATTGCCTCGTTGTTCTTTTAAATCTCTGCTATAAATTAATAGATATCACATTCCTAATAATACACATCCAAATAATATATTATAAATAATGTCGTGTTTTATAAACTAATAAAAAATGTTTTTCGTATTCATTTCGAAGAATATAAAAAGGATGAAGTGTCTTTTTCGTCAATGTTCCAGGAGACTTATTAAGGGGATTCGATACCGATCTTCTGTTTTAAGGAGTTGAATATAGGCAATTTATATAGTACGTGCGTGCAAGACATGGTTACGTGTGTGTAGTAACTGATTATTAGTGTGAGTGAATCCCGCAGCACCACTATCTCTATTATGACTCACGCACGCTCATACACATGTCAACGTGTACAACGTCGAGCGCGCGAGCAAATTAAATAGACCGTTTTTTCGACTAAAACATCCAATATTTTGTCCATCATTCCGATGGACCTAAAAATACGATAAGACTTTTAAAAACTGATTTGAATTCGTTATTATGCCTTCTTGAGATCGGCCTAGCCACTTTTTTGAATTTACAATTTTAATTCAGAGTAATCAAAACTTACATTTTTTTAAGTTTCACAATTTCTAAATCCATATTATAAAGATTAGGGGCCGAAATTTGAAAAAGTGACTTGGCCGATCTCAAGAAGACATAATAACGAATTCAAATCAGTTTTTAAAAGTCTTATCGCATTATTAGGACAAAAGATTGGATGTTTTAGTCTAAAAAAATGGTCGGTATCGAATCCCCTTAATTGTTTATACCCCTATCAAATTGATTTATAAGTGGAGTAGGTACGAAAAAAATTATCAGAAAATCGAGTAAAGAAATACAGTCTATCCAGTATCCACTATAAGCATATCATAGACATGTGCTCGTAATAACTAATAAGTATCTCACTATTAAACGAACTTTCCAAGTTATTAATGATTATATAGACGAGAAAAAATATTACATGATATTGAAGAAGCAATTAATGAGAAAAAATTTTAAATATTTTAAACTGTTTGTGCACCTTGGTTAAGATACCCTCAATCAATCCGTACAGTTAAAAAATGTTATAGAGCAGTGGTCGGCAACGTTTTTGGACTCCCCGGCCACATTCACAAATAAACAGATTTCGAGGGCTAGACAAAAATAAACATTTTGTATTACAAATTATTTAAAAAACGCAAAGTTCAAGTATATTTACTTTTCAAGTATAAATATACAATATACATTATGATTATTATGATATGATATTCAACTGAATTTCGTCGTTGTAGAATTCAAAGCTGGCCATATGCAATGGACGCAAGGGTCGCCGGTTGCAGACCACTGTGGCACTGTTATAGAGCGATGATTATTAATTTTAGCTCGTGAACATATTCACTCAGAGGGAGCACTGATCTATCATAGTAAGGAGGAGGTTTATTGTTGGAAATCACTCAATCAAGTTTTCGATAACTTTAACGGTTTTGATGAAGCAATTGGTGCAGACAACTCAAGTAAATTTAACTTGAGTATAATTTGATAAAAATAAAGTTTACGACTTTCTACTTTACCTATGTTGATTTCTTCTTAAATTCACCACCTACAAAATACTCAAGAACAGTATTTATCAATAGGTGAAACATTCAAATAATATTGTAAGAATTTAAAAGCTTTTATAAATCATGTAGGTATTCTACTTTTGGCGCTATGGTCCAGAATAAAAATAAAATTAAGAGCCGAATAATTAGAAGAGCAAAAAAAATAAATGTGTTGATACTATGATTGAACAAACGAATTCACGTTTCAATAATAAATAACTTGAAATAATAAGATTGTGTGAATTATTTGAGTTGTTTCAATCATTTGAATCCTTTATTAAAATTAACAAAAATGAAGTGCATTAAGGCTGAAATAAACAATGCTATCAATGAGAATTTTGGCACTCATCACTACGATTGTCTCTGAATAGATTAGGTATAGGAAAAAACTGTTACGACGATATGTCAACAGTATGTCATTGTTCTTTTAAGGTATCAACAGTGTAGTATAATTGTATTACAATTATTTAAACCTCGGAGTACGTGCAACGTCGGGATTAAAATCAAACCAATCGAATATATCGTTATAGACGAATCAAAAGTTCCTACCGTAAAGTTCCTACTATATATAGTTTCTAAAATATGATAATAATAAACACAACATAATATATTATTATATAATATCAATTCTAATACCTGAGTATTGGGTTTTATTTTAACGTGCATTGAGAAAGGAAATCGTGCTACAAAAATTGTTACTCTGTGTTTTGTGATGCATGCAGTGCGAAAAAACATTTTTTCGCTGTCATTTATTTTATATTATTAAATATTAATTGCGTAAACCTCGAATAAAAAAAAATATTGTTTCAAGATAAATCAATTTTGAAAATTAATCATTAAATTTATATAGTTTATCGTACTCTCTGGTCAAGTTTTGTGATAAGGATTAAATTCTAGTTCACTAGAGGAAACAGAAGAATACTATTTCTAAGTTCACCATAATGTTATGACAATGTTTGATTATTGAGATGTAAGAGAAGCGGTACCGGTGGCGCCTAACCTTGATTAAAACACTGGGATGAAGTCTGTTTGAATGGGTACCCACCACAGCCGGATTGAGGGGGGGGGGGGGGGGGGGAAGAGAAAAACCTCTTTTAAAAAGTTCTGAAATATTTACCCCACTTGCCATACGTGTTCGGCGCCTATAATAATATAATATATGTAATAATAAATTTTATCAAAATGAAAGAAGAAAAGAAGTCTAATAGACTTTAATGAAAGACTCAGAATTATTTTAAAGGCTTATTCCAAGAAGCAGATCAAGTGACTTCGAACAGTTTAGTGAAGTAGAAAATTAGAAATCAACCCCAAAGGCTTCATCAATCCCTTCAGTGTATTAATTTTTAAAAAAAGTTTTAAAATTATTAATATTAGTCATTACCGTACAATATATATATTATTTTAAGTAAAACTCTTAGACATACATTGTAATAAACAAAGGAACTAAGAAGTTACCTAAACCACTATGTTTATTTATTGTTTTTAAAGAATTATTAATTCTAATAATAGGTACTTTTACCTATTACTTATATTTATAAACAATATATTAAAACGATTATTAACAAACAAAATAGTGAGTTAACGTAAAATTATTTATTTAGAATGTCATGGGCAATATGTGTAGGTACGTATTTCAAATTACGTCTGCAATTCAGGTGTATGGATTAGTTTGTACAGTCAGAAAAAATCATTAAAAAAAAACCCTGCTGCAGTGTATGGCCAACGCCAAAGAATATTAGTCTCGGAAATTTCAAACTCGGACAAATCGTGCGATTCGATGGAAGTATCTAAAATCATAACTTGACTACGTGCACGATATGAATATAATACATTATGTGGATACGTCGAGGTCGTTTTGTGAGTCGCATTATTACGCGAAAGTGTTGTAAAAACAAAATTGCGTCATTGGAGCGCCTCGACTGACTACACCGACACGTGGCATAGGTCTTGGGATGATTATATAAAAATTATTGTAATAATTATTTGACTAGTTTGAGACTTGGAGTAAAGCAATGATTGTTGCCGCGAGCCGGTTCATCGTTCTCTATAAAAGTGCAGGTGCACTCGATAATTTTAAAAAAAAATCGATATCAACAAGACGCGTTGTATGACAGTAATTAATAACTCGCCGTAGGTTTATCGTTTTCGGATCGATGAATCTCCAAGCTAACTCTACTGTATCAGGCCACAATATCCGATAATATCCACGAGCGGTTAAAACGGTTTGATGCGACTCAAAACGAACATCGACCGAGCGCGTTACTACAAAACGACCGCGACAAAACCAATAACCGGAATTAAAAACGTATATTTTATTTCTATGTTCCTATTCAACTATATGGGCGTTTATCGAGAGAACACGAATGACAAAAATAATTATTATTTGACTGTCAAGGATATGTTTTACTATGCACGATAATGCACTAACCCACAATTAATTGTACTTAATTTTGTGTCGAATGACTACGAACTCAGTTCTGTTTTTTGTGCGAATTTCGACACTAACATGCATTGTGTTTGATTAAAACGAAAAATAGTAACCATTTATACAATAATTAATTAATATTATACCGGGTCTGTATGTAGCGGCGTTTCGAATATGCAATACGCAGTTCACATACGCCAGTAGTATGGACGGAATTATATTTTTATGTATTTTAAGTCGAAATGTACCTTTATATTTTAGATTCCGAGTGGAACAAGGAGACGTTTATTGGTTTTACAATGATGATGGAATCTTTTGACTTTTTGATTTTAACACAAATAGGTTTTGGGCTAGATTTTTTAGTTTCTGAACAACTTTTCAAAGGTTTTCGTTGTCGTGGTTACCTATTAACAAAAACATATTTATGATTCATGGACTTTCTCTGTTGAAGAAAAATATCGAGAGCGTGTTATGGTTATTTTTTATTTTATTTTTTTTGTGCCATTAGTTTTTGGTACAGTAAACAATAAAAATACTTCAAACTTCAACTTTGAGGGTGGCGTCTACTTTCTTGTAGGGAATTGGATTTGTAATGGTTGGCATCTACTTAAAAAAAAAATGTTTAGGTTTGGTCGAAAAGCTTGATAATTTAATACAATGCCCCACGTAAATTGTTCTAAAGCATTTTAAAAATATTAAAAATACAGAGGTATGATTTTTTTAATAAGCGTTTTAACTTTTGTTCAAACTTTGATAATAGACAAATACTCAAACAATAAAACCACGATTTTGTTTAAGATAAAAAGAATACGATTACTTTATGGATGTGTAGTTGAACAATAAACAATTGTTTTTTTTCAGGCTTTTGAGTAAAAAATGTTGTAAAATTCATTATTTAATTATAAATTTATAAATTATAAATTATTTATTAATTATTTAATTAATTAAAAATAACAGTTTTAGTCGTTTTGTAGTAATTCAAAAAAAAAGTTTTCGTACGAGTTGAAACTTAGATTATTTTTATGTTGAATATTATTATATTATAGTGTTCTATAAGCAATGTAATTTTCAAAGTATTTAAAGTAATTTTAAATTATTTATATTTTATATTATGATGAACCTATCCACACCGTCCTATGGTACGTATCGATTTTGACTTGTGAGTCATAAGTTCACGATGACCTGTAATATTCTATAAAATAATACAATATAATACGTGACTTGTATTTGGCCAAGATAAGTTCAACCTACGTAAAAAAAAAATGAAATAAGTTGCAATTAAAATACGTAATAAAATATCGATAGAACGACGGTTTGTCTTCGCTCGAAAAACTGTTTCGTATTCAATGATTTATCATAGAATTCAAATTTAAGACTTCCATTGTGGTGACTTGCCAATGGCTTTATGGACACTACTCGACATCAGATTTGCCTGGTTTTGTTTTTTAATGATAAAATTATTGTTAAAATCGTTTTTTTCGCTCAGATATTCTCATAGGATTCTATCCGAAAAAACCTATACTTACCAGACAGTGACAGATCTTTTTCCATTCAAATCGTTCGTAGAATAATATAACTGCGTAAATAACTGTTCGGATCTCGTCAATCGTAACCATTGAACAAATCACATCGGCTTGGTCGATTTATTATTAAAACGCATGGAACTATTAAAATAATAAAACTGTACCACGCGCGGCAACCCAAATATATACGACTTGTCTTCGTGATTTTATTTTCGACCTCAATAATTTATTACACTGTACGGGCTCAATCGGAAACCCGACAGACAACACACCACACTTGAAGTAGATATAATAACGTGTCAAAGTGTTGATTCGAGGAATCATACATAGGAGATGGAAGAAATGTCCCCGCGTCGGGGAATGCATTCGATGGTGTAAATAATATTGATGTACAAGCGCAACGATTTAAAAAATAATAAAAGCATTCGTTTATTTTCATTGCAAATAATGTAATTAACAATACACGCTTTACAATGTCATATAGTTTCTTAAATGTATATCAACACTAAATTATGGGAAATAAGTGCTCAGCGTACAATATTATATTATATTTATATTTTATATATTATACTAAATATTAAAACTTACCTTTAAATGGCAATATTAAATCTTAACAATAAACAATAATATAGGTACAGCAATATTTATGAAAAAAAATTTTTCTTAAAACACATTGTACGACGGTCGTGTATACTTACTTACATGTTACATACATATTATATATTTTTGTTTTTATGTAAGTGTGTACGAGTGTTTTGTAATTTATACACTGTAATAATTATATTTGACGGAAACGGTTGTGCAGACATTTCGGCGCGGATTAAGTTATTGTTTATCATTAGAAAATAAAATGCGTATAAACTCAGTCCTTTGGCAAGCGATTTCAAATTTGTATCAATACGAATAACATCTAAACTTTACACTCTTAAAATACTAAACTATTATTACATCAAATATGTGTTGTACGGACCGATTTCTCGAGGATGCCCGACGGGGGTAAGCGGGCGGATTGAAAATGTAACGATGGTCAATATTGATTCGTCGATGGTCACTTCTACAGTAGGGAGGTGTTTTTTTTTTTTATTATTAAAATATGTACCCCCGTGTAAGGGCTAAAAGAAAAATGTTTGTATGCAGACCGCAGTCGTTGAACACGCGATTTCTACGGACAAATCGATATGACTGACGTGTATCGGATACGTTTGCTCGACCACCCTCGAAAAATCGCCTCATACTAACTGAAAATAAAATCGACAAATCGACGTAACGTTATAGGTGTGGGTATTCGGATTTCACGAAAAAAAATCATTTCTGACGAAAAACCGAACTCGATTGTATTTTCGATGCACTATAATATTGTTTTTCGTTTTGAACTATATTATGATATTCTAAGTGTGTAGGTGTGTGTAGGTGTATCGACGTTAGTTGTACTGTGCAATAATTGTGTTTAGTGTTCGGAAAACGCGACCGGTACGTCGACGTCGTCATCGCCGAGGTCGTCTTCGGCGCCGCCGTACGATACCGCTGCACCGTTTTCTCTCCTCTGCACGGCGTGTTGTTGCTGTTGTTGTTCCGCCAACGGGGGCAGTTGGAACTGTTGTGGTTGGGCCCGCTGTTGTGGCACAAATTGCTGTTGTTGCTGTTGTTGCTGTTGTTGTTGTTGTTGTTGTTGTGGTTGTTGAACAGCCCTGGCTGCGGGTTGCTGGAACTGAGCCCGTGGTTGCTGTTGGAACTGTTGTGGCTGTTGCTGCGTAGCGGCAGGCAACTGTTGCTGCTGTTGTGGTTGTTGTTGCTGCTGCTGCTGTTGGAACTGCTGTCTCTGCGGCGCCGGACCGCCTTGTCTCTGATGAAGTTGCGGTTGCTGCTGTTGCTGCTGTTGTTGCTGTTGTTGAGGCTGCTGTTGCTGTTGTTGCTGATTTCGCTGTTGCTGGCGCTGTGGCGCCGGGGTGGCCGTTGCCTTAGCTTGTTGCGGCACGTTCTCCTCACCGTCATCTTCGTTGGACGGCAAATCGTCTGGCGACGGGGCCGGTGTGGTCGGCACCTCACAGTCCTCGGTGGGTGGTACGACGCACCTCAGGGTGCGCCTGTCGAACACCAACATAGCCGGACACCTCTGCAGCCTCGGGTAACCTCCCTGGCACTGCCAGTACCTGTTGCATGACTTTCCCAGTGGTACGTTTCCGTTAGCGTCTTCGTTGCAGAGAGCTGAAACGCAAACGACTCTTTAACGAAACGTACTTACGCACATCACAATAATATCTTTATATTGTATACAAGATGTGTACATTTTTTGATAATATATTATATTAAATAATACTATACTAGGTCGAATTTTTTTTTTTTTTGAGGTAAGCAGATGGGAATAAATCGTTAACAAATGTCTAACCAGCGCCTTAATATAATATTTAAAACTATTATTATAAGGGCCACGATTCGTTTTCCATAAAAAAAGAGATGGAGAAAAAGAGAAAAATTTAAAAATTTAAATCTGGGAAGACTCCCGCTTATTCGATGATAATATATTAATATTTAAAGTATAATATACAATACAATTAATTTTAACGAATTTTTAAAATTTGCCAGTTATAATTTTCGATCAAACTATTAACATATCACTACTATTATCATCTCGAAAATGAAAAAAAAAAACATACAAAGTTACATTATTTTTATAGCCTTATTTCTTTACATTTTTAAATTTTATCTAACTCGACAAGTACCTACATAGCATAATTTTTAATACAGGACCCAACTATAGTACAGAGTGGGACCCAACCAATATGCGAGTAGTTTTTGACCACTCTCGTTTGATTTTATGACTGCAACTGGTGGTTATATAACTGCAATAATACGATACGTCCCATCGCGTGGTATACCTACGCCTGGATAAAAAAATACTTAGCATGCACATCATGTCAAAGCTTTCAGTCTATTGACCATTATATAACCCATACTGTATATAAATTTGTATCGACTCGAATGGTACATGCGCGAATGAGCGGACGAGTGACAATAAGTGTTGGCTCGTATGCTGCAGCACTGGGTCGAATAATCGATAAATAAAACGGGATTTCTCTTTCGGATGGCATCCGATGATAAATTAACGAATAATGTACATAAGGCATGCGAGCGCGCATCACGGAGTTATTTACCGAAAAAAAAGTCGAATTCGACGATCGTGATGCAACGACGGCAATGTTATCATGGTAATATCGTTAATCGTTATTATGTGACCGCGTGAATAAAATGAATGTCGACATAAATTTCAATATGTTTCGTCGGGAAACGAGTATCTCCCGATCGGCAAAAAATTAGCAGAATAAAAACATAGATACAAAATGTCCGTACTACGCTGTCGTCCAGACCGCCTGCAAGCTCACAGTGTAATACCGGACACCTGGAAAGCGGTAACCATTATTTGTTCGGTTCTCTGAAATTTCAAAACGTAACAGTAAAATTTAGGTTGATAAAAATATGGTTCCCCATAAAGTTCGAGCGTCTTTTGAGTGTGGGTATATTATATCACACGGCCGAAGCGAATTATATTGTGTTGATCAGGCTATTTTCGGTCGAGAATTATTGTATTATGTAATGTTGGCCGACAGAGCGTTTCTCCGAAAAGCAGTACATTATTATAAAAATAATAACATGATGTAGACTCAATCGAGTTCAGCTGCAGCAGACACCGTACACGCACAACACGACCAACCGTCGCACCACTCGTGATTATATCACCCGTGACAAAATCGCCGTGTTCGCGCGACCAGTCGCTCGCGGTGAAAGCTCCTACCCGCCAAACACGCGGTCCGTATGTACGATTGGTCGTAAAACCGGATTCACAGCTACATCGTGTGTAGGGCGATACGGTAACTATATGGTTATGACCGATAACCAATATGGTTTAAAAGTTGAACTGTAGTCAATCCCTGGTATACCCACTCGGTTGCGACTTAGGGTCAGTTGTACAGTCTGTGATTAAACTCCGATTACGCTTAATCAGCTGATAACAGATATTTAACCGGTCAAATTCGGCCAGTTAAACTGTGATTAACTTTAATCACAGACTGTACAACTGGCCATTAGTTGTACATGATATCAAATAATCAATTTCCAATCACAATGCGATCTGATCAACTCGGCACGACACACGACGTAGCTCAGCGGTGAATTCGGCTTAAAACGCACCGAAATAAAGTGACCGCGTTCGACCAATCTGGTATACGGAACGCGACCGCGGTAATACGATTATACCGCTGTTTACCACACAATATTGTCTGTAAAACTATTACCATCGAATTCGCTCGGGTGTGCGAACAGCTGCTATTGCACCGTATAAAATGTTTCATAATATTATAAAGGCGGTGGTTTTGAATGTTTCAGATGTGTAATATTTGTTAATATATCGATACTTACGGTGTTTCTGGCATCCCTCAACGTTCTCGGGCCAGTCGCACGAGTGAGTTTTCTCGTTGTACAGAAGTCCGCCGATGCACAGCTGTTCAGTGGCTGTGCTGTTCCAGCAAGTCCAGTACCGTGTGCACGACGTCTCGTGACCGAATATGCCGTACAGCCAATCGCAGTGTTCCGTGGCTATCGGACCGTCTGCGGAAAGCAAACACGTACGGTTATATTAAATATTAATATTGACATCGTTAGGCGTTTTAATCTTATCGATTATAGGTGGTGATTCGCAGACCTAGTATTAAGAGTCTTAGTGTTACTTAGACAAATAAACGATTGGCGGACAATAGTTTAAAAATGAAATAGATGGTTAACCGCAACGTTACTATTATTCAATTTAATTCTCTTATATGAATATTTTAAATATATATACGCAGTCTGATCGACAACTGTTGGCACATTCAATAATGATTGCTTGTTGGTAGGTAAGTAAAACTTAGCACGCAAGTCGCAAATATCCATTAGCATGGATTCCCGATGCGGCAACGTCTTATAAGTTAGCTAACAAGTTGTTTTATATGTCTGTGGATATAAGGTACAAAAATTATTAGTGTCGTAAGACACGGGTCGCGGGTTGCCGGCTCGAGAATATTGGGCAATCAAACTTCGTTATATATTAACAATTATAACAGTAGGCAACATAGCATAATGCACAACGTGCGGGCGTGTTGTACGATGACGATTATAATAACATATATTTTAATCGACTCAGGTTTATTATTATTATTATTATTATTATTGTATAGGTACTATATTATAATATTATATTGACGTGGATATTGCGGTTTTCGTGAGGCGATCGCCTGCCTCCCCGGGTGGGCGTCCGGCCGCCCCAGGTGCCATTACTTTCACCTCCGCGTGACGACGAACTTCCCGTATGGCACGTATAGTAACATTAAATCGCAAACGTGCTGCACCTGGAGGTCTGTTGGCTTGAGTCCCGCCGGTCGAATATTATATGAAATGTAACACGCGTGACGACCCGGGAAATGGGATCGTACCTATATATTCCATACGAAGGGTTAATCGTGTATTATAATATAAATACAGTAAATTAAGTAATAGCACGTGGCAATCTCACGATATCGTGTGTGGAAACAAACGTCTGGCGTCAGCGAGAAAAGCACGCGAGCTCTGACCCTTTCCCTTCCGATACACTACGCTTTTGTGAAGTAACTACTCAAATCATTTTGAATTTCAAAAAAAAGACCCTGATTTCATCTTAGTTTTGGCGATCGTCGATAAAAATTATAGCTCGGGTTAGGTTTGGCTCGATCCACCTACGTTTAATGATTAAATGAATATATTGGTGCATTAAAAATATGCATCACGATTTACATTGAATACCTATTTGTCTACCAACTTACCAAAGCACACGTTAAAATATCTGAACTTTAAGTAAAAACCTGCGACTTTCGTGAATATTTTGCTTATGTTTCAGCCTATATTTTTGATGATATTATGTTATTGTGGGGGCGGTCAGGTGACTTACTGGCTTGAGTTTTGCCATCGCAGTAGTCTGCCCTCCATGGATAGTCGCATCCCTCGGTGACGCCCCTGTGCTTGCCTGCGTAAACCAGACCATTCGGACAGTCGTACAGCTCAGGCTGGCCATCCACGCATTCCCAGTAACGGTCGCAGTAAGCAGCGTCTGGTACCACCTTGTTTTTGGCTTTGCATGGGTCTTCCTGTACGTTGGATGACTTCAGTTGTTGCTGACAAGAGCCTGAAAACGAAAGATCGTGGTTAATACGACACAGAATAAGGTAGGTATGACTTGTTAATTAACTACCTATAGCTGGTATTACAATATTATTACTACGTATTATAATCGTACGATGTATTATTTCTTTTTCGTTTAAAAGATTCAATAAATCAATCACTCCGATTACAGATATAATACATTAGTCCGTTCTTGGTGGTATTCGGTATAAAAATATAATTAATAAATAACGTAATAATAACCGGTAACAGTGGTAGCTAACTACTACAGTTAACCGGTTTCGTATAGAATCGTGCACAGCCGTGCAGGTATTATAAGTTATAACTTATAAGTTATAACACATTGTACCACCCACGGACCACGGCCGATGCGCAAGATTCGCCGAACTTTATTCAATCGATCCGCTCGTTGGGCATACCATTGCGTCTTGCATAAAAATCAATTACATTTATATAATATTATCATAAAGTAACTAAACAACAACAGCAGAAATACATATTATTAATAATATTTATTATACACGACACGCTCGTATACCGAACTTACGAAATCATGCACTATAAGCACTTACTGCGTGTTGTACGATGATATTCGATTTCGATGCCTGAGTCATTTTTAAACAAATTATATATAGTGATTTGCTACGGCTTTGCAAGTCTGCGTAATAGTAGTTCACATAATGCGAGAAGCCTGCAGTCGATTACTACTGACACGAAAAACGCCGGAGAGGATAAATTTATGATATGCACATTGTATCACTTTATAGAACATAAGAATTGATAACAATATGTTATAATATGAAAGCTGTGGTATGGTAATCTAGAGCAAAAATTGAACCCATTCTCCGATCGTTTAATTAATTATTAATATTATAATAGTGTATATAGCTGGATGTATTCACCGGCTCGGTTACACGATTAACCGGTGGCGTATAAAAATTCCTTTGGTGGGAGATAAACATTTTTTTTATACGTTAATAATTAAGTTCACATTTATCATATGACATAGGATTTTTAATAACGATTATAGCAATACAGTTCCCATTTAAAAGCAATGAAATTATTTACGCTCAGTGCATCTCATAATTATATATTACTTTAAAGAAACTTTTGCTATAGCACGATGGTGAAAAAAATAGCTTTCGAGTGAGGTGGAAAATGACCCATGGGGAACTGCAATTCTTCCTCTAAAATATGCCTCATCGATAAAAACAATGCATTTATGAGGCCCGACGACAGACCCCGGCGGACGCCCACTACAGTGCTACCTATACTGCAGTTATATGTTTTGGGAGTGACTTTTGCACAAACAATCTACTTGTGTCATTGTGATAATGTGATATGGTTTGAAAAGTTGATAACTGTCTTCGTTTTTGTTTCGTCGCGATAGGTAAGTCGATACTTCATACTTCTGCTGTCACTACACGATCGGAACGCATGCGGTGAAGCTGTGATAGGGTAGTCGATTCTGATTAGGTTTTTTTTTTTTGTCTAACTGAAACGACAACCACGAACGTTGCGCAATCTACTCGCTCGTGACCTTTAACACCGATTACATGCCCACTGCAGTATAAGCGCAACTCGCAGGATCGGTCCAAGTGTAATATTGTACACATATATAGACACATAATGTACTCTTCGGATCCCGCGGTGAAAGCAGTGACGACGACGACGACGACGAGATTACTATGTGCACGTCGTGATCGATTTTTTTTATTTCTTTTTAGGAAGAAATGACCGGGTTACGTCGCTCTCGCCTAACCTTCGTACATACAAATTATTATATTATATTATTTCACTCGGACGCTATTATAAAAGACAGATACGGGCACTGCAATATGGCAGGTGCTGGGTGCAGTTTAATATACAGTTATGTACCTCCACAACATTATACGCTGTGTACGTACGTACTATTATCACAAGCGCAACGGTTATGATTATTATTACGACTATTATATTGTATTGACGGCGTATGCCCCTGCACTATACGTTATACTGTAATATTGGAACGTATAACGTATACCTTTTAATGTTTAGAAAGCAGTGGTGGCGGCGGTGGCGGCGGTGGCGGTGGCGGCTGCGGAGTCTGAGTGCACGGTATAGAGGTACTTGGGAGACGTCTACGCCGCCGCCGGGTCACACGAAGTACCTACACATAGACGCGTATCCGAAGCCGTTGAACTTTCGCATAATATAATAAACCGTCTGCCCCGAACGGTCGACTTGGCGTACACAATGGATCTATACATAATGTTATGAGATTTATATTGTACACGCGTTAGATAATAATGTCTTACGGTACCTACAAGTCGTATAATATTTGTATATATATATATACCGAATAAAAAGCTGCCGCGAACACAATGACGCGAGGGCGGAGGAGGGCGTGTCGAGAGCCGTTTTTCTTTCTGTCGCCGACTACGATTATTATTGTCACTGCAGCCGCCGGTCGGTAATGATTTTGACAATAACATTGTATTATTATTAAGATCGTATTGGTTCTCCTCAACAGCTCTCGTCATATCGACATATATATATATATATATATTTAGGTGTCGTTATTACAGCAGCTTCAGTTAAATTAGTTATTACGACGATCGTCGTCGTCGTCGTCGGCTTCGTAATCATTGTTGTTGTTGTTGTACATATATATCGACGTATTATTATTATTATTATTATTATTATTATTATTATTATTACTGGTAAAAGCGAAGAATCTTCGGCACACACAGCTCCGGGACAATAATCTCGGACAAAAGGCAGACACAGAGAAATTGAAAGAACTCGAAATAATTTCGGCCGCGGTGCGTGACAAATCGTCTTATATATATATACATTGACAGTACGGTGACAACAATACCTCCCCCGCCCCCACGCGAGCACGCGTCTAAACCGTCTTCCAGCGAGGTCGTCGCCGTGACGCTTAATTACATGTTTGGATGGATTTATATTATATACTTTACAGCGACCCGATAATCACATACCTATATAAGTTGTGCGAGTGCACGATGACGATAATATAATGTCTGCGCAGAAACGCGACCGTTTCGTAAAAATCGCTTAGATTTTCATGGGTTAAGTCTGCAGTATAGTTACGTTTGGGTGTACAGTCGAAGACCACATTTAATTCCTTTGTGATTCCTGCGCCGTCCGGCGGCACTGATTATGTCGCCGAAGCCGATCGGAAGACAATTCAAAGCGCGTGAAACTTTCACCTTTTTGCTCGTCCCGTCGGAAATCACAATACTGCAACACACACTCGTTAAACGGTTTATCGCACGCGAATCACTCTGTTTAATACACCAAGACAATAATACGACATAATCGACGTGATTACTCCACATCGCTTACTTGCATATACCAACTACCAAAGTACCTATTATATTGTGTGTGTTTTTATAACGACGCATGTGCAGACGCGTCGTGCGAAGATGACTCTAAAAGTCTAAACGTCTACGAGGTCAGAGTCTAATTTCCGTTTTTCCGGTGTATATTTAATAGTTGTAATAATTTAGTAAAACATGGTATAAGATAAAGGTGTATTGCGGTGAAATCTTGACCATATCGTCTCCGTCGACCGTAAAGACGACACAAACGGGTAGTAAACATGGAAAACAACGATACCATGGCATAAATCGGCTTTCCTCTCACTGTGATGAAAAGTAATCGAAATGACGACCGACGATACTCCGAGACCTACAACCCGGGCTTGAATACAAACTCACTTGCAGTTGTTGTAGTGGTATACTCTCTTTTCTCTCGTTGCACTTCTGCAGTGCCTACATTAAACTGCACTTTTGAGTTAACAGTCGACTACATTTCCACTAGCCCGAAACGATCTCGCTTTTACGCCGCCGGTCGAGTCATTACTAAACTCACCGTGCCGGCGTTCTTATGTTTTTCATTAACACTCGAGTTGTTTTGTTAATTTCATATTTTAACACGAGCAAGACATAACGGTATATGAATGTGTGATAGAATGGTTAGATATAAATTCATATAGTAGGCGAACGGATGACGATGTGAGATGAAACGCTGTGAAACACCCTGTATCGCCAAATATAATGCAACAAGGGAGTTTTTTTCGATCGTCTCTGAGCGCGTTTCCAAGGTTGTAAGCGAATTAATAATAACGATAACAATGTACACGATGCACCTCTGTATTATGAGCATGTAATAATATAAAGATGAAAACGGCTCTCAGTCCGCGGGCGCGGATGTATATAAAAGGTCGAGGCCGACGCGGTCAGTCGTCTCTCTCGTCGTCGCGTTTAATTACGTTTTCATTATTATTCCCACAATAACGCATTATATTATTATTCAAAATCTTAATTTCGTCACTCAAGACGTGTGTGTGTGTGTGACTCTGTATTGCTCGTGGACCCGTGAGAAACCATCGCGATAATATAATTAAGTGTAATATTATATATACATGTGAGCGACAAGTGTGTGTGCAGGGATGATGTTTCCACGATAAGAATATAAACGTATACACAGTCAGTAGGTATAATACATAAAATTATATATTATTCACCATGGTTATGCAACGAAGACGATTTGAAAAAACCGAATATTAAAACGCATTCACGACAAGCGTGCGAAAAAAACGCCGAGCGCGTCTTAAAAAAAACAAACCGGATTGTCTTCGCAATCGATTATTCGACAATCACAAGCGCTCGCGGACTCGAGCGGATTTCGAAATCCTCCGGCTAGTGTAATACGACAACGACAGTAAGTTGTGATGATGATAATAAATTATGTATATAATATGCGTAATATCGGACGATGACGATATAGTAATGTTGTCGATGATTATGATGATGTGCTTTCGGACGACGCCTCTGCTGCGATTACAACGATGATATTGACAATAACATAATGTTACAGTCCTCACAACCGTATGTTCGCTGCCGGTTGCTTATTAAAATATAATATACGTTTATCGCTAGCGAACATCAAATAGATGGTGTGCGTAAGTCGCCGTTTTCGATTGTATTTAGAGGGCGTCGCAGCTGTTGATGGTGAAGCTAAATTCGCGGCGGTGCTTGTCTGCACTTTAATACTGTCAACAATTTGAACGTGACATATATATTTGGACGACACTTAATGCTCGCACACGGATAAATTTAAGGTGTACTGCATAATATCTTATCGTTAACAATACCGTGATACGTACACCTATAAAATATGATTATTATGAATACGGTGTGTAGCGTTGTAACTAAGTAATGGATTTCTAGCGTTCGCTAACGTTTAATATATTTAGAAATATAATGTCTATAATATGACGTGTGACATGTGTCCGATATAATATAAGATACATATAATATTATATTGTGTATACGCTCGATGCGGAATACGCCGCATTCCTGCAAGATCTATAGGAAATCGCCGGTTTTGATTAAAAACATGACGTAAAAATGTGTTGTACGGGAACGATTTTACGAAACCAGTCGAAAGTGAAAGTTTGCATCTTTGACAGAACGTTGTCGTGTACGAAAATATGTCCTTAATGATATTTAAGCGATAAACGTACGATTAAAAATTGAAACGCAACGAAATAAAAAGCACAGTTTAGCTGCGCTTTGTACATTTTATTGATAACTAAGAGCTAAAACATCATAGTAACCCATATATATTATATTATATGTAATCTTAATGACAGATTGATTTTTTCTATAGGCAGCACCAAAACCATTGATCTTTTTTATTTTAGTATTTTTTTTATATTTGTGGAAAGAGAATCCGGATCGCTATCTATACGTAATCTATTTTATTTTAATGTATGCTTGATAGGAGTTTGAACCTTATGTGACGTCGATCGGAAATTCATTTAAAATTAAAGCATATTTATTGACGTCTATTAGTTCCACCTCTTCATTGTCGGCTTTTAAAAAATTACCCAACTGCTACATTCATCCCAGTCGATAGATAATGAAGTTTAGAACTGTATCCTTATGTAAAACGAAAATAATACGCCGATATCAATTGTTAACGAAAACATGTACCTACACAGGTATATCAACATAAGTATAGCACATATTATATTGTACACCCGTCAAATGATTATTATAAAGCGTAACCATGTTACATATTATTGTATAGGATTACATGAGTATTTTTGAATTGACAACATATACAACTTGTCACTTATGAATTTAAGTTGAATAACAACAATTTTAGTTTCTATACCGGTTTCCATTTTTTCGTGCGTTCACATCATCAGGCGGCTAATCTCACATTATGTATTAGGTACTTAACCCGGATGACGTAAAAAAATAAAGCTCTCGATTCTATACAAATCATTTATAGTTTACATTTATTATAAAATATGTAACCCGGTAAATTTCCTTTCGTTGGTGAATTAGAATTAAAATGTTTAACCATTATATATCCTTATTATTGCTAATCCAAAATGAAACAATAATGCGTTAAATAGCTATTAAAATATCCAAATAGGAAATAAAGTAGTTTGTTTAAATGATTGAGGACAACATTATTTTACAATTTGATAACATTTTAAAATACAAATGTTTCTTAATCTGAAAATAACTACAACTGTCACTTGATTTCTCTAAATTCATCAACAATAAAAAGTTTTAAAAAATATCTCATTTTAAGTTTAATAATCATTGTAATCTTAAACTATTTTTATTATCTTATTGATATTTGAAATAAGAAACTCAATAAAGTCAGTATTTTTATTTTTTGTTAATAAAGGTATTAATAATGATTCGATTTTTTTTACTACAAGGTCAAATAACCACAAGTTATCGGGTTCAAAATTGGAAACCATGAGATAACAAAATATTGAGTTTGAAATAAATTTAAATTTATTCGATATAAAACTATGCATGGTAAAGCTTATGGTTTTTTCATTGTGTAATTTTGCTTAATTTTTTTTGTTTTTTTCATTAGAAAATCATTAAAAATATGATTTATGTGTAAAAAAAATCTGAAGAACTCTTACAAAAAAAAATATAACGAAGCTTTCAAGTACAAACATTACTATCTAGTAAAATAATATCAATGAAAAACTTGATTTACTGCACTGTACGGCGTACGCCAACGGTTTCTGTGTATTTAATTATTCCTATGTCATATGAACTATGAAGTAAAACAACCAGACAGTGGTAATTCCGATTTCGTTGGATGTATTGAAGTCTCCCGAAAAACTAAATACCACTGCAATGAGAATGTATATGGTTCCTCGAGAACTACAATCCAAGGTATTATTATTACAGGAATAGTCAAGAGATATCCGAGAATCAATTTCTTGGCGAAATGTTCATATTGGAAAATAATATCGATGCGACACTCCACGGAATATTCAAAAGGTTATTTCAACTATACTACACTTACATGATAAATATAACACTAGATACGTACAACTATAACTCGTATGCATATCACCTACGCCAATCTATGTTATAATACAATAACACACGAGTATAAAATAATAATAAAATTGTTCACTTACATTGTTGGACCAGGTAAGTGGTGAGAACCACCCACAGACATGTGTTGCGCTTCATCGTTGTCGCGGAAATAATAATGAGCAGTAACTGACGGCGCAAGAAGGCGGTCGTGTTCGACGACGGCGGACGCGACGTCGGGCAGCAGAGGAGGACAAACGCGACGATGGAGAGGAAACACGAAATATAATAAAGCTGAAGACGCCGCCGCCGCCTCGGACGACAGGGAGAGAGATGAAAGTGAGAGAGACCTTGCGTTTATACACACATATATAGTAGTTTATGTATACATACACGTGCACGCGTGTACAGGTGGTTCGCACAACACCGGATCCCACGGCCCATCTCTCGTGAATTTATTCTACATTTATGTATATTATTTAACTGTGTACAAATCACTACACTCATAATAGAAGTGGTACAATACTTGTATCTTACGCGTGTTACGAGTCGAATTATTACGTGTGAGATGTTATTAAATCATTTTTTTTATTTTTATTTTAATGAATGTATTTTACCACCGTTCCGCAAAGATTTCAAAAGCTTAGGTGCTCAATGCATGGGAAAAGGCTTTCAGGTTGTCTAAACGCACCCTCCTTCCTAAGGTCCCGATGAGTCATTTTTACTTAGTCTCCTCTTGTCAAGGCAAAAAGCGGATGTATAAGATATAAATATACACATAGTACAAAGCCCATATTCTGTCCTTAAACCAAAAAAATGAAATTTTAAAGAATAGTGGATACCTAATTTATAAACAATAATAAGTAAGTTGACCGTTTTTTAAATTATTGCATTAAATCTCAAAGTTCATTGTTTCTTATTTTTTGTTATATTATTATTATTATTAATATTCTGTTTTCCAAAATAATCTTTTATGGGTAACTTTATATGGTTTTCTAACATTATTTTTTACTAGGTTTATCTGTCAGGTTAGGTTAGGTTGATCTGTCTACCTTGAACAGTATAAGCTTAATTGATAGATAATATTATTAGATACAATAAGGACAAGAATTATTGTTTATATTTTGTATATTATAATTGTATAGAGGCCTTAAAGGAATTCTCCTTGCCGTAAAATCTTTAAGAAGCAATTGAAACATCAGCAATTATAAACAATTTAATTCCTTATTTAAAAAAAATTGAAATTTAAGGATTAATCTAATGAGTAGGTCACTGTAATGGATGCGTCAATTTTGAATTCGATAATAATTAATAAATCATTGTGTACGCGCCTATAGCGGAGTTCAGATGATACAGTGAAGATTTTGAGATTATGCTTAGAACTTGGTACTGCAATCTCTCTATAGGTACTGTTAGTATTACTGTAGATGGAACTAAAGGCACATCCCCAAAGTTTGATGCCACAATATGTCTAAATGGATCCTAATATAATATAAATAACACTCTAAATAAAGATTTATACGTATGAGTGTATGATGGATGTTTATACAACCTTTATAACCTTTTTAATTAATTATTTCACAGATCAAATTGGTTCAGACTATCCGTTATCACTCCTTGTCTAAATGCATTCGTTATAAACCTATATATGTGTGATCGCAAAAATCCAACCACCATTTATGCATTACAGTTATGATTTATATTATTAATTTAATTTAAAATAATGATTTATTATATTATTCATATTATGTATAATATAATTAAACGTGGGCGATATAAGGGATGGCCAAATTATTCCACCGTTTTGTCGTTTTTCCAAACATCCAACTGGCACACACAATAGTAGTTACACATTTAGATGAGCCGCGTGAACGTGATATCATACTCAAAGTATATTATTGGTGTTTATATATTGCCATTTACACACTGCGGTACACGAGAATGTGTATATGTTGGTACATGGTAACCACATCTTTTCCATTACTACAATGTACAAGTGCGAGTTATAGGTACGACTCCGCGGTATATTAATCTGTAACCTGTAAGGCGGTGGAGGACTATTTGAAACAATTGCTTCATGTCTGTAATTAGTGGGTGGGTTGTCCTGGTGGGTGTATGGTTGGGTGTAGACCTCAAGTCCCCGACACAAATTTAATGACAAATATTATAATTGTTATATATTAACGAGCTTAAAGTTAACCCTCTGCGAATCACTTTGATGTAATGAAAGTGGTGGTGGTAAATATATTTAAAATATACAATTTGCTTCAAAGGCTCAAAAAGTTCGTGCTGCCAATATGTAGGCTGTAATTAACCTGACCTAACCCAGTTACCTAGCTATATGCGTGCTTGAACTTAAAATAATATTCATTCAAACAGGATCGCAGGTATGACCCTAATCTGCAAAGTGCAAGAGGTCCGATGACGAGTCGTGAAATTGTTACCAAGCAGTGTGCTCTTGATAATATGATATATATATATATATATATATATATTATAATATTCTGTCTAACAAAAGTGGCTTAAAAATTTGATTCATGTCCGTTGGTGATGGGTTTCGACTTCAAACTAAATACACTGGTACACTTGGTGCTCTTATAGGTTCAGAGATGGAAAGTGCTTTTACAATTTTGCAATTTGAATTTAAAAATTGCATTTCTGTGTGTTATAATAATATAATTATATATGATGTGTATTGTGCACCAGATTAAGTCCATATTTTATTTTATTGTCCTTCTGTTGAACTATTGCAGTTTCCTTTTCCGCCACATGTCCAATTTGATATACTTATAATCATGATTTTAAAAAAGGTTCAATTATATGAATGATGAAGTTTGATTCTTATATTATTTTCATACTTATTATTATGTTTCTATTTTTTAATTCGTCGATTCTCTTTTTCCATTGTAGGTATACATATTATTTTAAATTGAATCTCATCCGTATTGTTTCAATAAATAGATAGATTAATATTAATTATAATTCTGTACTTACAAAGAGACTAACCTAACCTAGCTATGATATTTAAATAATAATGTTTTTCATTTTTAGAGCAATGTCAGAGGTTCCATAATGTTCGTATATTCTAGTTTAACGGCTAAACGTTTCATCGTAAAACGTGATAATAATATTTAGTAGATTTAATAGCTTAAAAAAATAAAGAAAAAATGTTTCAAAACACAAGATGTTTTTCTGTATTAAATTTGAGACCCTGAACTTATAATTTACAAATGTTGTGATATTGTAGGAGGGCACACCCTTATTGTTTTGAACAATGTATTGTCAATATAGTATAATATAGTACATTGAATAGATTTATAAACAATTGTAAGTATAGAAGATTTATCATTGCAAACTCCAGATCTGTATATTATATTATGAACTTTGATTGGCCAATAACTTTCTCGATTACTTACACAGATAAGCGTATTAGTCCGACACGCAGACGATCTTTTTCCATGGCCCGCAGGTCTTATGAAAGTGTGACCTTAGAACTTCCAATTTAATACTCTAACTCGTCTATAAGACATGCTATTATACAGACATTTTTGATAAAACAATTTGTCCACAGGTAAGGTTAACGAAAAGAGATATAGGTATTTTAATACTATTATAAACGTTTTGTAAAATCGTTGATAAACACATCGACAAAATATTAATATGTTCTATTTCCAATTCTCGTTTTTCTTTAATTATGACTTCAACCAGGTGCAGGACGTCGTCGTCTAGGCAGTATCTACAATACATATAATGCATAATAAACACAATTAACACAATAAATTACATTTAAATAGCCAATACACCTATTGCATATGACAACGTCAGTCAACATATTTTATCTACTATTAGATATAGAATTATATTGAAAAGTGAAAACTATATATTATGTGTTATCATAATATCACGTGGTGGCGTATCCTTGCATACAGGTACCTATTTCAATGTAAAATATACATATTGTTACGTTATTTTTACGAATTAATTATCTAACCTAAAACATGTTTTGAGGTTTAAGGTAACGCGTCTTACATTATGTACCTACCTATATATACATATATATGTAATATGTATAATAATTTTAGAAATTAAACACAATATTGAATGTGTATTTAATGTAATAAAAATGAGCTGGATTTAAATATCGCATTAAATGTCACGATCATTTATGATTTGTTCAAACTATATACTTCCTCTCGGAAAAAAACTTTCTATATTATTATTTCCGAACAAATATGTATTTTTACGACGAACAATGTGCAATTATCGCTCGAACGATTTAATATAATACGATTACACGTACAACTGCAGTGTACTTATAAGAATGCGAAGAAAGTAGACAAATTACGATAATTAAAATAATATCGCAGCATTATTGTCACATTGTTGTTAAAAATTAAAAAATACATACCGCACCTATTACTGTTCACTCAGATGTAGCATAGCCCAACCATTTAAAAAAAAAAACCCCATAAAAACAATACTAAAATAATAATTGCTACGTGTAAACTATTACGTTTTAATAGATACAAAATATTAAATAAGATACATGGCATAATATACTTATTTTAATATGACCATTGCAATAAGCAATATATTATATTGAGTGATTCACCAAGCATGCTCACCCACCTGTTTTCCTTCGATGATGAATTTATTCAAATTCTGAGTTTTGGAATTTTTAAATATACTCAAAGACAATTTTTTCAAATTCTTTAATTTTATTGTACTACTCGTGGAATATTATGTGGCGATACAAACTTCTGTTTTTCAAATGAGAAGCCCCTTTTTTTACTGTAAGTTATTAAATTAATTAGTGGATAATATTTTTAGTTTACCTACTTGATTCAAAATTTGAATGAGTAGTTTCTTAGTTATTCTTATTACAATGTTGATTAAAGGATAATAGACCTTAAAAACAGTTTTAACAAAAGTATAAAATAAAAGTAAAACTGAGACTAGAATTAATTATTATAATTGGGCCATTTTTACAAATTATTAATATAGATTAATATTAGTGACTACAATTTTCAAATCACCACATGCCTTATAAACCCATTACCATGGACCTTTGATCCTTAGAACACAAAGTTAAAAAACTTGAAAACTACAAGTACAAATTTTGATTCTGATACGTCAAATTTGTCAGAAAAATTATCCACTGAATAATTTACAGTAAGTTGAAAAAGGAGTTGTCATTTGAAAAAAAGAAGTTGGTATCTCCACAGAACTCTCCTTATAAGTAGCGCAAACAAATCAAAATAATTTTATAATGCGGTCTTTAAGCATGTTATTTAAAAATTTTAAAAATCAGAGTTTAAATAACTGCATTATTAAAG